TTAAGAAGAACAGACTGTTGCTAAGAAGAACAGACTGTTGCTAAGAAGAACAGACCGCTGTTAAGAAGAACAGACCGCAGATAAGAAGAACAGACTGTTGCTAAGAAGAACAGACCGTTGCTAAAAAGAACAGACCGTTGCTAAGAAGAACAGACTGTTGCTAAGAACAGACTGTTGCTAAGAAGAACAGACCGTTGCTAAGAAGAACAGACCGTTGCTAAGAAGAACAGACCGTTGCTAAGAAGAGCAGACTGTTGCTAAGAAGAACAGACCGCTGCTATGAAGAACAGACCGTTGCTATGAAGAACAGACTGTTGCTAAGAAGAACAGACCGTTGCTAAGAAGAACAGACCGTTGCTAAGAAGAACAGACCGTTGCTAAGAAGAACAGACCGTTGCTATGAAGAACAGACTGTTACTAAGAAGAACAGACCGTTGCTATGAAGAACAGACTGTTACTAAGAAGAACAGACCGTTGCTAAGAAGAACAGACCGTTGCTAAGAAGAACAGACCGTTGCTAAGAAGAACAGACCGTTGCTAAGAAGAACAGACCGTTGCTATGAAGAACAGACCGTTGCTAAGAAGAACAGACCGTTGCTAAGAAGAACAGACCGTTGCTAAGAAGAACAGACTGTTGCTAAGAAGAACAGACTGTGGAGCTCAGTGATTAAAAATGTTCAACACTCTTCAGACCACAGCAAACCTGGAGCCTTTGGTTTAACATTAGAGTGTCTGTGTATGTGTGTGTGTGCATGTGTGTATGTAAGTGTGTTTCTAAGTATGTGTGTGTGTGTGTGTGTGTGTGTGTGTGTGAGTGTGTTAGTGTGTGTGTGTGTAAATGTTCCAGCCTCTTAACCTCATGTATAAAACATTCTGACAGTGGGGGCTCACATCAGCTGCATCCAGTCACTTTACCTGACCCCAGCATCCTCACAACACACACACACACACACACACACACACACACACACACACACTCGGTTCACACAGCGGTTACTCCGTCCTCACTGAAGGTGTTTTTGGTCGACTTTCGTCTTCACTAACGACGAACATTTAAAGTGACTGTTGGAGGGCAGAGGAGACGAGGGGAGAAAAGAGGGGAGGAGGGAAGGAAGGAGAGGAGATGAGGCTGTAAATGGACTCAAGGAGGGAGGAAGGAAAGAAGGATAAATAAATGAATGAATAATGAAAAAGGAAGGTGAGGTCGAATCTGAGAGAAAAAAGGAAAATAAAAGATTTATAAGCTAATGATAGATGAAAAAGTGAGGGATGAAAAAGAGGAGAGGAGAACTGGGGGTAAGAGAAAGGACAGAAAGGAAGTATAGAAAGAAAAGAGGCAGAAGTATGAAAACGGAGAGGATAAAAGATGGGTATAGGGAAGGAGGTAAGGAAGGAGGTAAGGAAGAGAGAGGGAGAAGGACAGAAGGAAGAAAGGAAAGAGAAACAGAAAGGAATAAGGATAAAAGGAAAGGAAGTAAGGGAACAAGGAGAATGGAAGTAAAGAAAAGTGAGAAAGGGAAGAGATGAGCAAACAGGAAGAGAAGAAATAAAAGAGAGAATAAGAAGGAGCAGAAAGGAAGAGTGTTGTAAATTTTAAAGAAGCAATTCAACATTTTTATGGAGACGTAAAATCTGAGGAATGGAGAGACGAATAAAAAAGAGAGAAAAAGAAAAGAGAGAGAGTTTATAGATCTGTGAGAGGATGGAGGGATGTCAGCCGAGGACAGTTGTGCTGCTGCTGTCCACCTCTCTCTCTCCCTCTCTCTCTCCCTCTCTCTCTCTCTCTCCCTCTCTCTCTCCCTCTCTCTCTCTCTCTCTCCCTCTCTCTCTCTCTCTCCATCTCTCTCTCTCCCTCTCTCTCTCTCTCTCTCTCTCTGTCTCTCTCTGTCTCTCTCTCTCTCTCTCTCTCTCTCTCTCTCTCTCTCTCTCTCTCTCTCTCTCTCTCTCTCTCTCTCTCTCTCTCTCTCTCTCTCTCTCTCTCTCTCTCTCTCTCTCTTGGTTTTATTGATGAACCCCGGTCCTCCAGAGGGACCAGGGGAGCACGGCTCATCTCCTGCCCAGGGTCAGTGCTCCTCTCCTGGGCTGAAACTTTCCACCTCTCCCTCTCAACCCTCCACGGCCCCTGGATCCACAGGTAATGAGCTGTGACCGTCAGGGGGCCGAACAGGAAGTCGTCTGTTTGTGTGTGTTATCCTCGTCTCCACACACACTCACACAGTCAAAACACACACACAGACACACAGACACACAAACACAGCTGGCCTGTTCCTCTCAGCTGTTTGTTTACTGAGAGGCTGACGGGGGCGGAGCCTTGTCCACACACACCTGTCCGTCATTTACCCTCATTACAGGTAAAACATGACATCAGAGCCATAAACCTGACCACCGTCCTGACCTTTGACCTTTCTGCTTTTAACCTCAGACCTGACATCTATCTTCTTCTACATCTATACCTCATCCATCTGTCTCCGCCCATCTTTCAGCTCCGCCCTCAGAGTCT